CACCAAGCACTCCACAGAGTGAAGAGAACCACTCCCCGGAATGCTTCAGAAGATAAAAGCAACCGAGAAATGCGACTTTTCTGTATGCACTACTCTACAGAGCAAAGGAGCACTCCACGGAGTGACGAGATGTTGATAGTTGGTTATCGAGACCACTCTGTAGAGTGGGGCGAAGCAATCGATCGAGTGACGTTGATCTACATTGTAGGAGTTTCCTACTGAGACTAAAGTCTCAATTTTGTGAATGAAAAACCTATAAATGTCCCAAAAAGAGATATAAGACCTTGGAGGGGGCTATTAGGGTACTTATAGGGAGAAGGAGCAAAGGAAAGGTTGGTGATCACTTCAACAACATGATCCGGAGCAAGATTGATGTAGACGGCGAATTACACCTATAGAGTTTCCTTTCTCTCGAAATTGTGAACATGAACTCCTTTTTTTCCCTCTGTGTTTTAGTTCTTTTTTCGACTCTATGTTGCTAAACACGCTTCGAATTCAAATTCAAAGTAAATGATGGGTCTTGATTAGTTATTAAACTTATTTAGTGTGGTTTAATGTCTAAGTTGATTGTTCGTCATTTATTCCCAGCAATTATCTTGATCACATATTTGCTGGTACATGAAATCTTTATTGATCTAGAAATAGGCTATATTATTTAGGTTTGTCAACTTGGGGCATGACTGGAACGTTAAAGTTTAAGGTTTCATGTTAGATAGGAATATACTGCCATGACATGGTTGGCCTTCTAGGTTCTTCCATATAATGACTTTACAGCTTGAGTACTCCTACAGAGTGGTTATCGAGACCACTCTATAGACTGGGGTGAAGCACTCGATAGAATGACGTTGACCTACATTGTAGGAGTTTCCTACTGAGACTGAAGTCTCAATTTTGTGAATGAAAACCCTATAAATGTCCCAAAAAAGAGATATAAGACCTTGGACGGGGCTACTAGGGTACTTATAGGGAGAAGGAGCAAAGGAAAGGTTGGTGATCACTTCAACAACATGATCCAGAGCAAGATTGATGTAGACGGCGAATTACACCTATAGAGTTTCCTTTCTCTCGAATTTGTGAAAATGAACTCCTTTTTTCGACTCTGTGTAGCTAAACACTCTTCGAATTCAAATTCAAAGTAAATGATGGTTCTTGCTTAGTTATTAAACTTGTTTAGTGTAGTTTAATGTCTAAGTTGATTGTTCTTCATTTATTCCCAGCAATTATCTTGATCACATAATTGTTGGTACATGAAATCTTTACTGATCTAGGAATAGGCTATGTTAGTTAGGTTTGTCAACTCGGGGCATGACTTGAACGTTAAAGTTTAAGGTTTCATGTCGGATAGGAATATACTGCCATGACATGGTTGGCCTTCTAGGTTCTTCCATGTAATGACTTTACAGCTGAGTACTACCGTAGGAATATAGATGGTCCGTAGTTGTGGAGATGTTTACTTGAGTTTGGAAGAAGGTTTGAGACATTATAGTAAATTGGCTAACATTCTATCACCACATAAAGTTTAATAGCGAATTGATAATCAGCGGGGCCGACTCAAGCCATTTAGGGCCTAAAGAGAACTTCAAAATTGAGGCCCTTTTTAATTTTTTTTTTTTTTTGGGTTTCAAACTAGGAGCACTAAAACTTTTGATTTCGGCTTTGATCAAACACAAACCCTCCTCCTTTTTCTAGGCTTGGGACCGGCAACAATAAATCCGAAAATTTACTGTAGGCGGAGTTAAAAAAAAAAAAACCTCCCTAAATTTAACTTGCAAACAAATTACAACTAAAACTAAATTTCAAGTGAATTTTTCGTTTCTAACTTTCTCTGATGCAAACTATTTGATAAGAGTCTCGTACTCAAGTTTTTTCTAACATGTCTTTTTCAATTGACAAATGAGCCAACCCATTTAATCTTTCTTGTAACATTTAAGATCTTAAATAATTTTTAATTAATTTTAACTTGAAAAAATTCTTTTAGTGGAAGCAACAGTTACCGGAATGGTTAACATGATCCTATATGCAACATATGCATTTGGAAAACAATTTAGTCTTTGAACATAATATAGGGTATCAATTGGAGTATCATCTTTTACATGGCAAACTTCTCTTAAAATTTTTAATTCATCAAATAAATCTAAACCATTGATATCTAAATTATATGTTTCAACAAGCTTTCATGTTTAATACACTTTTCTTCGAAGTTATCTAAATCGATTGATCTTAATTTTTCTAAACTGAATAGAAAGCCAAACCAACTTTCGAAAGTCTTGAATTGCTCAAATCTACTTTAGAGTGATGTATTAGATTGATCTATTATATTAAAGAAATAATCAATTTTCAATGACTCTTGAGGTGTTCTAAAACTTTCATTCTCAACATTCTTATCATATCGTTTATTTCTATTGTTACATTTCTCACAAAACTTAGATTGAATATTCATCTTTCTAGCTATTTCTTTGGCAGAATCAATAGCTTTTTCAAATCCATCTTCCCTATACATTTGAATAAAACAAAATAAGCCCATTTAGTTGTTCTACAGCAACATCAATACACATGTCTTTTGCTTGCAAATTTTTACTAACTAAATTAACGACAAATAATAAATCATACCAAATAACCATTCCTATCAAAATTCACAATTCTCAAGTTCATAGTTAGCTAAACATTTTGCTTCACTTTTATAACACCGGTATCTTTACAAAGATCACTTAATGCCAACAATGCATCTCTCAATTGTGGAGTTTTAAATCTTATTGCTTTAACACTTTCAATGCGATTTTCCCAACGTGTTTGTGACAAGTATTTAAAAGTTAAATATGGTACATGATCCTGTAACATTTTCAACCTTTGGGTGGATGATAAAAATATGGAATATATGCGTTGTATCACTCCAAAAAAAACAGTGGCTTTGTTACAAGAATAAGCCATATCACAAAGAACTAAATTAAGACTATGACAACCACATGGAGTATAAAATGCTTTAGGATTAATTTCTAAAAATCTAGTTTGCACACCTTGATGTTTGCCTTTCATATTAGATCCATTATCATAACATTGGCCTCTAACATCATTTATATCAAGTCCAATATCATTAAGTTCTTCCACAGTAGAGTAAAAAAGTCCTTTACCGGTTGTGTCATCTACTTCTAAAAATTCTACAAAGTATTCTATAACCTGTATAGGACTTGATGAAACATTAAACACCTTTCTACAATAGACATCTGTTCTTTATGACTTATATCAGGAGTACAATCAAGTATAATTGAAATATATTTAGCTTTCTTAACTTTTGCAATAATTTTAGTTTTAATTTCACTTGCTAGTAAGTCAATTAGCTCATTTTGTATATTATGTCCAAGGTAATGGTTATGAATTTCATGATCTTTTATTCGCCGAAAATGTTTTTGCATTATTGGATCAAATTCTGCAATCATCTCAGCTAAACCTAAGAAGATGCCATTATTTTCTTCGTATACTTTTTCATTATCTCCACGAAATGGTAAACTTCTCTTCCCAAGAGTTTTCACAATAGCAATTATCCTTATTAACACATTTCTCTAATGTTCTCTTTCTTTATTGATTTGATCTTGAACATTTTTATCAATTGTTTTGCCTTTTGCCAATCTTATTTCTAAGTCAATCCATTCATTGATATTCACTATGTGTTCATTAGTTGTTTCATGATGCTTTGGTTTAGCACTAATATTTCTCCAATCATTACTACCACCACTTGCTAATCTACTATTACACTTATTAACATCAAACAATTTACAATAAAAGCAAAATACTCTATCGAAATCTATAGAATAAACTAACCACTTTCTTTCTAATTTTTCCCCATTGGGCAACTTTTGCATATAAAGAGAAGAACTAAAGTGCCTTTGGTATTCTAGGAGTCTTTCTCTGCCTTCTCTCTAGACTTTGAAAAGACTTTGGAAAGGCCCGTACAGAAACTTTGTCTCCTCATAGAGAACTTGCCAGAAAACATAGACCCAGGGGGAGATCACAATGAGGATTTCCCATCACTGGATAACGTAATGGTTATGAGAGGGCCCTCCCCTCCATTGACTGATGACAGAAGTACCAAAAAATCCAGACATAGTGCAGATCAATCGGAGAATCTGGAACGTCGACTGTTAAGCTTCAAGGAAAGGATTCTCAGAGCCCAGGGATTGCAAGGGGACCTGTTTCAACAAGATGAAGAGATTAATGGGTTGGATGACGGGGTAGCGCTGGTGAGAGATGGGCCTATCCCACAAGCCCAAGTGTCCGATGAAGTGGAGGAGTAGCTAGCTAAGGAGTGGAAGGATACACTAATAGTGAAGCCAATGGGTTTTACCATAAACTTACTTCCGTTGAATAATCGGTTGAAAGCGATGTGGCAGAACACGGCCGGGTTCTCTGTTATGGATCAAAAAAGAGGTTTCTTTCTGGTGAAGTTTACAAAGAAGGAGGATGCAAAGAAAATCCTTGCTCAGGGGTCGTGGCAGCTGGGGCTAACTATCTTCACATTCAGAAGTAGGACAACATGTTTGATGCTAAAACTCATGAGGTGAAAAAGATGACGGTCTGGGTGCGTCTCCCAGGACTACCGGTGCACCATTATCACAAAGATTTCCTCCGCCGTATAGGGCAACTTATAGGGCGGGTTGTCCACATTGACCACCAAACGGCGGCTAAGACCAGAGGCCAATTTGTGAGGCTAGCAGTGGAAATCGAATTGGAAAAGCCGGTTTGTGCCCAATTCTTGATAAAGGGTAGAATCCAGTTAGTGGAGTATGAGGATCTACCTTTTATATGTCTCTCATGCAGTTTAGTTGGGCATGTTGCACCATCCTGTGAAACAAACCAAGCTGGCCCATCAGAGCCGACAGCGGAGCACAGCGCCGGTGTATCAGAGGTTGAAAAGAAGAAGACCAAGAGCGTTGGGGGACCCACCCATGTGAAACCGGGATTGGGGGAGTGTGTGTATGCAACCAAGAGAGGCAGGCTAAGACAAAATGGAAGCTAGGGATACGCTGACAACGATGAGGGGAGTCAACGATGAGAATATAGAGAAGACAGCAAGAGAAACAACAAAAGAGACGAAAGGTCAGAGTTCCGATGGTGACAGAAGAGTTGAGGTTGGAGAAAAAGTGGAGGGAGAGAAGGTGACACAGGGTGCACCCGTGACTAATACAGGAATAAGCGTTGAATCAGAAGAGGCCAAGGTCACATGGTAAGTCATGCCCGAATGAGGATGGGTCAAAGGAGGCAAACCAGAGGAAGCTGGGCCTTTTGAAGGGGAGCCCAAGGGGACCATATGTTGCGACTTACCAGGAGAAAGCCCAACAGAGCCCAAACAGAAAATGATCAGGACCCCTCAAAAGGTTGGGCCATCAAATGGAGCACATGTTTGGAGACAAAGAGCCCAGAAAGAAGTAGTGACCCAGGGAGAATGGACTTTGAAAATGCCTCAGTAGCCCATTCGTCCCTGGATCCTAATTGCCATAAGGCGGTTATAGTCCACTCAGAGATAAGTAGGGCCCCCATAGCTGAGTCGTCGCAGTAATATGACCAGGAGGTGGAAAGCGGTCATGGCGAGATGGGCGATCTGATTCTTGACACAATACCGCTGGGTTTACACCAGAATGATGATGAGTGGGAGGAGATAGACACAGAGGCGCAAGGAGAGGAGGCGGAAATAGAGGATCCAATTAGTGAGGCTGTCAGCCGATCCATCTTTTGTTTAAATCTAGATCTGGTACCTTTTAATTTTTGTGTTTAATTATGAATACGAATATTATAGTCTGGAATGTTCGGGGGGTTGGCTCCAAGAACTTCCATAGACAATTTAACACCATGGTGCAGGAAAAACGGCCAAATGTAGTTGGCATTTTAGAACCACGCATTAGCAGAAAAGAAGCTGATGAATTCATAAAGGAGAGCAAATTTGAAAGGTCTTTTAGGGTGGAGGCAAGAGGCTTTTCAAGGGAATTTGGGGTTTATGGAATGAGGAGGTCGAGTTGGAAGTTTTGGAACATCACCAACAGTTTGTTCACACTAGAGTTGGGATGGGAAGGGAGTTTCGTATGGTGACTTTTGTATACACAAGTCCGACGCCAGGGATTAGAAAGGAATTATGGGGAGAATTACAGTGGATAGGGGCAAGTGTGAGGGAGCCGTGGTTGGTGGGGGAGATTTTAATTCTATTTTAAGGAAGAACGAGTGTAAAGGGGGGGGGGGCACGGGGTACAATAAGCAGTGCAAACAGTTTGTCGGGTGGAGGCATGCTGGTTGAAGGAAATATGGGTTGTGGGATCGAAGTTTACATGGGAAGGAAGAGGAGTGTTGAAGAAACTGGATCGCTTTGTGTGTACGATGCTTTCTTTGACCTCTTCACCAACTAAGTTGTTCAGCACTTGCCAAGAATTCAGTCTAACCACAACCCTCTATTGATTAGGGTGTGTAAAGGCATTTAGAGGAGAAGTGGGAAACAGTTTAAGACCTTGGCATCATGGTTCCTCCGCGAAGGGTTCGTGACATTGTAGAATCGGCGTGGGGTTCTAGTGAAGAGTTCTTGTTGGCAGCAGCAAAGTTTCAGAGGGCCGCACCTGAGTGGAATGAGAAGGTGTTTGGTAATATTTTCATGAGGAAACGGAAACTGATGGCGAGGCTGGAGGGGATTCAACGGGCGAAGGAAAGGAAGTATAACCCGTTTATGTATAAACTTGAAAAATAATTGAGACTAGAGCTAGAAAAGGTCTTGGAGCAAGAAGAGGTGCTTCGGTTGCAAAAGGCCAGGCGAGAATGGTCTCTACACGGGGACAGAAACACACATTTCTACCACAATACGGTTAAATCTCAAAGACGGCGCAATCGGATTGTAGCACTAAAAGGAGATGGCAAAGAAGGTTCCATGAGAAATATGAAGGGGAAGAAGGGTTATGTTGCAGTGAAAGTGGATTTGGAAAAAGCCTATGATAAGCTGAGGTGGGATTTTATTGAGGATTCCCTAAAGGGAGTGGGACTGCCGGGAGGACTTATTGATGCAATCATGAGCTGCGTTTCAACAGCTCGAATGAGAATCCAATGGAACGTGGAACTGACGGATGAATTTCTTCCTTCTAGAGGTGTAAGACAGGGTGACCCGATTTCACTCTACCTTTTCATCATTTGTATTGAAAAGGTTGGCACAAGATATATTGGCGAAGGTGGCTCAGGGTTTATGGTGGCCGGCTACCTTTGAAAGAGGGGAGGTAAAAATTCCATATCTGCTCTTTGCAGATGATATCTTGCTGTTTGTAGAGGCAAAGGATGATCAGGTGGCCTTGATTAAGAGCACTTTGGGGAATTTTTGTGTTTCTTCTGGATTAAAGGCAAGTGAAGGAAAGACAAGGGCCTATGTTTCCACAAATATTTAAGGGGATAGGAGGAGAGTGCTGGGGAGCAAATTGGTGGTAACGCTGGTGGATGACTTTGGTAAGTATCTTGGCATGCCCCTGATTCACAAAACGGCAACCAAAAGTACTTACTGGCAGTTGGTGGACAAGGCAAACGCAAGATTGAATGGCTGGACTACGTCCTCGTTAGCCATGGCGGGCAGGGTAACCTTAGTGCAGTCGGTGGTGAGTGCCTTGCCCTCATACGCGATACAATCAACCGTGTTGCCAGTGGCAGTGTGTGATTGTATCGAAAAGGAGATGAGAAGATTTAGTTTGGGGGACAGAACAGAGGAACAGAATCTCGCCGGTTAAATGGGAGGAGGTGTGTAGAAGAAAAGGGGAAGGAGGTATGGGCATTAGGAGGCTGAGGTTGATGAATAGAGCTCATGTTATGAAATTGGGCTGGAGTGTTTTGACGAGAAGGGCGGATTTGTGGGTTAGAGTTCTGTTGGCAAAGTATGGACCTAAGTTGGAAAGAGGCCCGATAGCGGGGAAACTTCTAGTGAGCTCAGACGCGTTTAGGTCTATTATGAAGGTGTGGGGGGAGGTTAACAGAGGAAAGAAATTGGCTCTGGGAGATGGCAACAGGGCAAAGTTTTGGACGGACCTATAGGTACCGAGCCTTGAGCCACTTGTGAATATGTGCTCTGGCCCAATTCCAAACACTAAGCTAAAATGGCCCGTTAGCAGGTATGTAAGCAGGGAGGGGAGTTGGAAGTAGGAACCGTTAGATGGGATAATAAGCGAAGAGGCCAAGAGAAGGATTGTAGTAGTAGAGCCGCCGGAAAATCATCGCGGGGAAGACAAAATCTTCTGGGCTTTCACAGAGAGTCGCAGATTCTCGGTGAGATCGGTCTATGAATCCTTAACACTTGATAAAACGCAGCCGCAACCCATCAGTTGGAAAATGATATAGAGTTGGCAGGTTCTGCATAGGGTGAGAGCCTTCTTATGGCAAACGCACAAAGGAAAGCTCCTTACCAACAAGGAGAGATTTTGGCAACATCTAATGGAAAACCCAGGATGCCCGCAGTATGGGAGTGAAGAGGAATCGATTAGACACATCATAAGAGACTGTGTCACAGCTCGCCAAGTGTGGCAGAGGCTCATACCAAAGGCGAAAGCCTCTCTATAACCAAAACCAAAAAAAAAAAAAGTGCCTTTGGTATTCATCTTTCGGAAAATCATAATCCCAAATCTTAATGGGACCTCTGTTTACTAAGAAATCTCTTAATTTACTATCAACATTTTTTCATTCACTTGGTTCATATATATTCTTAGGAGTTAGAATAGGCCATTCATTACTTTTTTCTTCTTTATGTTCCTCTTCTTCAATATTTACAGGATTTTCTTTTTCACTGCCCTCAATATTTACCGGATTATTTTCTTCATTTAATGATGATTCTCTAATATTATCTTGTTTATTATCATCCTTTTTTATTGTTACATGTCTTAGTAATGACGCTTTTTAAATTCTTCTAAACTATCAAGTCTTGCTTTTTTAAATCTTTTTGAGTAGCCGGACTCATATTTTCGAGTTGACAGTGCTCAACACCAACAATTTAACATAAATAAATATCCCAAATTTGGACAAGAAACCTAAAAGCAAAGGGACAAATAGGAACTTTTCACCTTTATTTAATGTTGGTCCAAAAAACCTTAACACCCAACTTGAAAGCTTCCCCGCCTGGCTGCCTCGGGCCCTCGGCCTCCTCTGTCCTTAGCTTCACAAGTCACAAGTTAAATTACCTTACTTTTTTGGGTTTTGTTTTTCTGCCTAAAGACAAAATTCAGATCACATAAATAAAAGAAAACAATCAAATTGAAGCTGGCTTGAGCCTTGAGCCCATGAAAGTTAGAATTTCACAAAACAAAACAATAGACAATAGCAATCTAAGATAAAAGTTAGAATTTCACAATACTAAACAATAATTAGAAGAAATCTAACCTAGATATTAAAACTTTTAGAAGCTCTGAGCTGCTATATTATTAGCCAGATAGCCATCAACCCATCTTACGTACAAATTTTCAACAAATTGAAACCCGGAAACATAATCTTATCATATCCTACAACAAATTCCTAACAATCAATTTAGGATTATGCCACTGCACCATAGGATAGTATCCCTTTACAAAAATCAACGAATTCGTGAAAATATCGAGATTAGTCGAGGATTGTGCAGGAAACATGATTGGATAAAAAACATAGCCCGAAGCGGCAAGAGTCATATAGGAGAACTAACTTAACAACAGATTATGGTATCACCACTAATCATTTTGGAGGAGAATGAGTCTAAAAATCATAACGCCCTGATCACCTAACTAATTGGAGGATTTAACATTGACGATGAGATAACGAAGAAGTTGAACAACCACAAAGCCGAATTCGAATCTGGTTCTAATAACATCATGCTATCAAACAAATTGGCAAAGACGCCATTGACTTTCCTGTCTTTTATGTATCCACAGCCAAAAAAGCAAAAATAAAATAAAAATAAACTACTACTACAACTCTATATGTACGATTATTATCTTTAATTATAACTAAATTACAACTACATGTAACGAAGTGGAGACCAAGCAAATTGAATTACAGCAAAATTATTAGTACATGAGTAATGTTGGAAACAAAAATATATATAAAAAAATAGTACTATGTATTAAAAAATATCGGTCGGGATGTGATCATCAGATAAGAATAGTGCTAGTCATTGCTAGTAAAACAAAACATAATACAATTAGTAATTTGGTTACTCCTCCCCCAACCACGTTAATAGCTTATCATATCGAGATTTTCAATCGAATTAATGAGCTGCTATATTATTAGCCAGATAGTACTCTCAAATTAGGATAGTATCCCTTTACAAAAATCAACGAATTCGTTGAAATATGGAAGCCAGTCACAGAGGAACTCAGCGCTAGAAGCTGCAGAACAGCAGTAAGGGAGATCAAATATACAAGGATTGTGCAGGCCATACGCTTATAATATCGGATAACAAAATCCACCAACTTCTATCTCCTTATTGATGATGCATCAAAAAATTAATGGTCACTAATTAGTCGAGGAATAGTCAGGCGAGAATCCAGTGAGCAGTATTAGGGTAAGTATAGTTCTTTTGAAATTCACAGAGCTCCTAGGATAATTAGAAGAAATGTTAGATGAGGGGATAAGATGGGAAGTAACAATATCTACTAAAAGAAAAATAATAAGTCCTAAAAAAAAAATTCTTTCTTTTTTTTCTTTTATGTAACACAACTAGAAGCTTTTTTTAATATATATTTTTGGAACATACGCATAGTATAAATTGGAAAACAAAAACACTTAGCTATTGGGTTGGGCGGCCCTGTTAAAAGAATTAAGAGAATTTTTTTTAATAATAACTAATAAGCAATGGCCCATTATTGGAGGCCCTAAAATGTTTGGGGCCTAAAGCCCTTGCTTTAGCAGCTTTATGGAGGAGCCGGCCCTGATAACCAGATTGGAAATTGATCTTGAACCCTTGCCCTCTTCATATCTGAAGTCTTTTTGTTTAATCACTTTTTGTTAGTGTTTGATTCTCTAAAAAAAATCACATTTGTCTATTCCGTTACTTTATACTAAGAAAGAAATCACCAGGAATACATAGTTAACTAGCACGTCTTCGTGGGATCGAC